ATCACTCATTTCTGTATAAACAAGTGTTTTCTCGCCAAGTTAAGACAGATGTCATTTAAGGTTTATGTATTTAGAGTTAAATACCTGGCCTGGCTATCACCCAGACAATACAAATATGTCCATTGGACGTCCATTCGATATACAATTTTGGATGTCTAGACGTCCAAGAATGAGTTTTTTCTGGACTTCCGACATCCAATAGACGTCCAGTGAAGTATACAAATGGCACACTTTTGACCATTCAGAGGACGTTCAATTCTGGAATATTTTGGACATCGAATACTGAACATTCAAAAAACGTCCAGGATTATATTTCCATTGAGACCACATCCCCACTTTTTTTACAGAACCGCAACTTACCACACACTATTTTATATTATTAATAATTTGTTTATTATTTTCGCAAACCGCTATACACCATTTATTTTTTTTGTGTTAAAAATCGCTTGACCTGAGCAGGCATCAAACTCACGATACATCCATTATCGTTTTACCCTTTCAATCGCTAGACGAGCTCGACCAAGGAACCACTTGAAAACTATTTACTAGATACAGTTATAATTGAATAAGATTTCAAACTTCCGCTGATAGAATGAAATGCAATAAAATCAATTTGTCAATTTTTAATGACCAGTTATATTAAAAAAAAAAGTATATATTATAGATGAGTATTATCTGGTAGGCTTAATAAATAATGACCTAAGATGGACGTCCAATGGACGTCAAAATACTACTAAACTTAAAATTAAGTCCAAAAACAGACGTTCTCTGGGTATCAATATTCAGCTGTCAATTTAATTATCATAAACGGACGTACACGGATGCCCGGATATGGACGTCCTGACCCTCAAATAGATCTAAAGTGGACGTACATTGGACTATATGTGCTGTCTGGGCATAGACGAATTTTTTGAAATATAACTTATTTAAGTATGTACCAATATTTCCAAAATCAATAAATGTAAATATGAATGGGCAAAACATCTTTATATTGACATAATTGTACCTTACAATTTAGCCATAATAAAGGGATTTGGTCCATTTTGACCAATCCTAATTGAAACACGCGGATTTATTATATTTTTTTAAATATAATTTCAAAATAAAATAAACAAAATCTCCAGTTCATTGTTTATTAAATTTATTTAAAAGAAGAAAACATATATTTCACAAAATACAATACCTACATATGAAAAATAAAATGTCAAAAATGATTAAATCATTATACTTAATATTTATGCATGTGATAAAATTCTTAGTTTCCTAGTAACTTTTTTGGCACATTTTATATCTGCATTAGAATACCTAAGTGTAAAAATCTTCATCTTATTACTACACAAAACAAACACCAAAAATATCACTTAACATTGCTCACGTACTAAACACAACTTGGACTGACTTTGACAGATAACATCATTTTGAGTGATACACAACTTATTTTCGCACATGCGCGTTACAAAACGGTACACTAAAAACACCAAGCTGGGGCCCTATCCTCGGCTATCGTTTTCTAAAAAAACGTATACGCTTTAGCAACATACGAGCTATTCGCTATTCTCGACATTCGTTTTAAAAGCGTGTACGCTTTTAAAACGGGTGTTTTACAGCGAGCGGAATTTTTCACACGTTTTTGATAAAACGTGCATGTTTCCAAGGATTTAGTCAATGTCACTTATATGTCACTTTTAGGACGATTAATAATATTGATTGATTTTAACAAATTCTAGGTAAACTACTTTTTATTAATACCTACAAAATTATCTAATTTCTTATAAATATGGTTTGCAGTACTAAAGAAGTCCATTAGCTGAGAATTTCTTTCAATTATATTATCAATAATTGTACAATTATTAGAAAACTTAGAAGATAAGAATCCTTAAAGATTCAGACTTGCAGAGGCAGAATCCAGTTTTTGATTTTAACTGATATTGAATGAATATTTTTTATATCTGACCGTGTAAGAATTTAATTATTAATTCATGTATGTTTTATTTACAAATGTTAATTTGCTTGCGGTTCAAAGCTCTTCTGTATCACACGTTGTGTCCAGAAATTTTTACAATTTTGTAAAATTGCCACAAAATATTAAAGAACTGATTAAGATAAGCAAAGTTATTAGTTAAATGAATTTTTTACCATAAAAACTAGGTTTTTATGACGTACGATTTTCCTAGAATTATAGGTTGCATTAACTGCACCCGTATAGCTATTTTTACGCCAACAATTAACGATTCAGATTATCCTGAACATCGATATATATTATGTGATTAGAAAAAATCATCGTTCGACAAATTTACAATTAGGCATTCCAACGACCTGTCCAAATGGCTACCAGTGGGTACTGACAGTTTAGATATGGCAACCCTGTTGTCATGTTGTCATTAACAGGGTCAATGATACATATATGTTATATACATTGCTCAAAGCTGGTCGTTTGCGAGCAGCCATATTGCCTGGCAAATATTTATTAATTTGAATCAGTTTAGCAAAAATGTGTTTCAAAACCAATTTTCAGACTATAGATATTTAAAAAATAATAATTGCGTATATTTTTACTTCAAGGCATAAGCTTATGTTTATTTTAAAAAATAGGGATGATCAATCTATGTAACTATCTATTTCACTCACCTTGTCAAATCACCAGGCCTACAGAGTTGCCATAACTTTGCCACATCATAACCTGTCAAAACCCACTGGTAGTCATTCAGTTTGGAATGCCTAATTGGTTTGTTGTAATTAAATTACATAATTCTTATTCTTTTATGGCCTGCACATTACTTGAATTCAACGACATAGACAGTTTACATTGATGCCAGACATATAATTTGCTTGTTAAAAACGTACACGTCTTAAAAAACGAATACTCATCGAACGTCAGTCAAGAATATAGATTTCAAAAACTACTCGCTTTTCAACCACTCACTTTCGAAAACGGTTCGTTTTTTTAGCGATTGTCGAGGATAGCCGCCCTGTCGCTTCTCCTTGATCGTTATTCTCGGGTACTACCAACATAAGTCGACATCATAGTGACAACTTTGTTATCATACCAACAAGTGACGGATACGGGAACACCATCTACATTTGCTACCTTTTCAATTATAGCACCACGACCACTTTTCTTCATAACCGATTCATTTGGTATTTTCAAGTTTGGTATACGGTCCTATCTTACTGTTCCTTAAAGAAGACAACCTTCTTTATAGAGATAGGTCATAAGCGGGACACTGTTGAACCAGTCATTAGCAAATATTTTATAATTTTAATACCTTGGTACAGTCTTTGTAAGCCGAACTAACTCTTAAATTAGAAAAATTATTTTCAACTATATTACTTTGTGCTCAAGCATAAATTTCATAGTCATATTAGAACCCACTAATACCACTAAGCATAAGAGCTTTATAACCCCATTTACGGGGTTTCTTAGGGTTATATTGTTTAATGTTGGATCTTGCTTTTGTTGGAATTACCTGTTCATCCACAACCATAAATTCCTCTTTAGGAACTTTCAACAATCGCTCACGGAGTTTAGTTAGTATCGGCTTTATTTTGAACAATTTGTTATGTCCATTGTTACCAGCTGGTATAAAATCGTAATTGTTATTGAAATGTAAAAATCTCTTAATTTTTTTAAATTTATTACATGACATTACGTCTGCGATTACGTGTGCTTCAAAACTGTACTTCAATACATCCTTGTAGTAGCTGGTAAATGTGCAATAAACTGCTCCAAATCTTCAATTGTTAGAAGTGGTTTTGTTGGGCATTGTTGGGTGGAGTATAAACATATAAACAATAGATTTTAAAATTTCGGCTGTTATAAAAAACTGAAAAAATTGAATAGGAGAATCCAATACAGTTATTTCTGGAGGCAGGTCCAAATTACTTAAAAATGCAGTGTCATGTGATTCAGTATGAGGAACTACTCCAAAAATTTGATCATCAGAATCTGACATGTCATCCTCACTATTGTAATGTGAGCCATTCCATTATTCAGTCATGCTCTAATCCTCCAAGTCCCTCTCTGTCTTATTTGGCCTTTGAGGCCCAACTTGTCCGATTATCATACATAATTAAACCCCTTAAGACCAAACATATGTGACGACTATGGCGGAGGAGCTTTCGATGACTATTCGAGAAAGAACGGGATAATGTTTCTAGTGTATTGGTGAGAATAGGTGAACTTTTTAGCCCTGGTCAAGCCTTAATATAATATTACAGAAATACGGGGCTATTATATTTATTACCTTACTTTCAAATTGATTTTGAACCCTTTATTTGTGTCAAAAATTAATAATTTCAGGCAACCCTTAATAAAATATATCTGTGTCAAATCTGGCCAGCCTTCGTTATAGTTGCGCGATCAGGAAAGACATTTTCAAGTAATTAATTTAGCCTCAAGTAAATGAATTTAAATTCACCCTCAACCGATAACCAGAACCAAAATTTGTTTACTTTATTTAACGCACACCCCTCATCCATATCCAACAATGCGTTTGGCATGCAGCTCATCCGGAAATGTACGAGGATTTTTTCAACCGGAATATACGACAAAACCGAAAACGGAAGGGTTGTTGGGTTATTGTCGAAACGGAATGATTTTAGATATCGGGGTGCGCGTTAAACTCTTGTACATCCCCCGCAATTCACCCCTTCGCCTTCCGCCCTTCCTCCCTCGGGGCAGATATTTTAAACTATTTCGCGATTAGGTACTTCATTAAGCCGACTGCTACGGTTTAAATACATAATAGATAGGGTTTTGGAATAATGTAAAGTCGGTGTGAAGTTGGGTAAATGTTTCTTTTAATTTTTACAGAAATAACTGTGCCCATACTATGGCTCGTATATTTTTTTCTTAACCTGTATATTTTTTGGTAAAACTTTTCATGCTTGACAAACTGGATGATCTATTTTATTTTATTCTCTACGATCTTTCGAAATCTTACTACGAAATTCAAACTAAAAAAACTGGAATAATAAATGAGTTATTCGTTTTGTTGCAGAACCGTTGCCAACAATATCAAAGCTCGATCGTCCGACTGAATACAGAAATCACCACGCTACGTCAACAACTCGAACAAGCCGGCCGAGAGAATAATCCCGAAGGAATATTGCAGGCGCACGCTGCGGCTTTACAAAGACAGGCCGAGGAGTCTAGGAAACAGTACGAGCGGTGTTTGGACGACGTCGCCAACCAGGTCGTCAGGGCACTGTTAACGCAAAAAGTAGGTTAATAATACTTATTATATAATCTTTGTTGAGATATCTCGACATTTTTCTCAATATGTCATTTAATTTATTTCACCTTGCGTAGTATCTGCATTCTCAAGAAGTGATTACGTCACCCTTTCCTTCTTGACACAACTACCTCTAAAATACAACAGAAGATCGTACGTGATGCTCGAACGTGTTGTAAAAATCTATCTTTATGTGAAACTTCAATAAAAGTATCAGAGATCACAGGTGCATTGAAATTTTAATCATATTTTCTAATAGACAACTTATATCAAACGATTCAGCTTCTAACTGCAGTCCACACCATAAAAATCGATCTAATTTATCATAGGATCCGTTCGGCATTCAGATTTATATGTTAGACTCTCACAATCTTTATTTGAGGAATGAAGCGCAAATGACATCTTCAATTCGGTCACAAAAACAACGATTTCTGTTATTTTTATAACTTTTCTTATTCTTTTCTATTTATTTTTGCAGTTTCTTCATTTCTTCTAGTATTTTTTATTGATATTCTTCTTACTCTTGCAATTTCGTGTTAACCTTTAGTTGTTCTGCTTCTTCAATATCTGTATTAAACTTTTTTCCAAGTATTTCCATTTTTTGAGGATCATAGGATCATATTCTTTAACCTTCATCATTTGTTTCACCCTTTTGTCAATACCTTTGTTTTCCTTTTATTTTAAGGGTTTGAAAGAAGAAGTAAGCTGTCTAAACCATAAAATCCACGAATTGGAAACCCAGAACCAAGCCCTGGCCTCCATGTTGGTCCATCAGCTGCGTAGCGACAGCCCCGATTCCCCCGCCGATTTGGACGCCTTCTCCAAGCAGTGCTTCCTCGACGACAAGCGCCAGAGGAAGATCAGCGACGGCTCTATGGACGCCACGTCACCGCAAACCGGCCTTAACATTAAGCATTGTAATTCGTTTAACTCTGAGGTGCTGGAGGAGAGTCCGGCCGTAGAAAATTGTGATAATGACGCCGTTTCTGAGATCGATAAAAGATTGTCGGCTGATACGGCGAATATCTTAGGTAATTGTCGAATGACCTTGAATTTTAATTTTTTAGTAGTTTGTTTTTGTTAATTTTACTCATTCTATTTATATATTTTTTCTCATATCATGGGGTTAAGTAGTAAAACAACTCAGTGACTATGTTTCAAGCTTTTTTCATTTTAATGTAAATCATTTTAAAAGCAATAAAGACGTTATTAGTATTGTTTCGAAATGAACTTGAATGTATCTAGAAATGACCTAGAATTTATCTCGAATTACCTTGAACTTATCTCGAAATGACTTTAAACTCATCTGGAATGGCCATGAATTTTTCTCGAAATAGCCTTAAACCTATCTAGAAATGACCTTGAATTTATCTTATATATAACTAATTTCGAAATGGCCTTTTCTTAAAATGGTCTTCAGCTTATCTCGCAATATTCTTAAACTTATCTCGAAATGATTTTGAAATGATTTCAAAATAACCTTAAAATTATCTCTAATGGCATTAAATTTATTTTGATATGGTCTTCAACTTATCTCAAAGTGACCTTGAATTGATCTCGAATAACCTTGAACTTATCTCTGATTGATCTTAAACTCATATGAAATGACCTTAAACTTAGATTGAAATAGCCTTGAAAAATATCTCGAAATGACCTTGAATTTATCTCAAAATAATCTTGAACCAATTTAGAAATGGCCTTATCTCGAAATGGTCTTCAACTTATCTCGAATGACTTAAAACTTATCGCGAAATGACCTTGAACTTATCTTGAAATTACTTTTAACTCGTCTGAAATGGCCTTGAACTTATCTAGAAATAACCTTTAACCTATCACGAAACGACCTTGAATATTTTTCAGAGTAACCTTGAACTCATCTCCAAATGATCTTAAACTCATCTCTAATGGCCTTGAATTTATTTTGAAAAATTCTTCAACTTATCTCGAAATGATCTTCAACTTACCTTAAACTGATCTTCAACTTATCTTGAAATGATCTTCAACTAATCCCGAAATGACCTTGAGTTGATCTCGAATGACTTAAAACTTATCGCGAAATGACCTTAAACTTATCTTGAAATTACTTTTAACTCGTCTGAAATGGCCTCGAACTTATCTAGAAATAACCTTTAACCTATTACGAAACGACCTTGAATATTTTTCAGAATAACCTTGAACTCATCTCGAAATGATCTTAAACTCATCTCGAAATGATCTTAAACTCATCTCTAATGGCCTTGAATTTATTTTGAAAAATTCTTCAACTTATCTCGAAATGATCTTCAACTTACCTTAAACTGATCTTCAACTTATCTTGAAATGATCTTCAACTAATCCCGAAATGACCTTGAGTTGATCTCGAATGACTTAAAACTTATCGCGAAATGACCTTAAACTTATCTTGAAATTACTTTTAACTCGTCTGAAATGGCCTCGAACTTATCTAGAAATAACCTTTAACCTATTACGAAACGACCTTGAATATTTTTCAGAATAACCTTGAACTCATCTCGAAATGATCTTAAACTCATCTCGAAATGATCTTAAACTCATCTCTAATGGCCTTGAATTTATTTTGAAAAATTCTTCAACTTATCTCGAAATGATCTTCAACTTACCTTAAACTGATCTTCAACTTATCTTGAAATGATCTTCAACTAATCCCGAAATGACCTTGAGTTGATCTCGAATGACTTAAAACTTATCGCGAAATGACCTTAAACTTATCTTGAAATTACTTTTAACTCGTCTGAAATGGCCTCGAACTTATCTAGAAATAACCTTTAACCTATTACGAAACGACCTTGAATATTTTTCAGAATAACCTTGAACTCATCTCGAAATGATCTTAAACTCATCTCGAAATGATCTTAAACTCATCTCTAATGGCCTTGAATTTATTTTGAAATGTTCTTCAACTTATCTCGAAATGATCTTCAACTTACCTTAAACTGATCTTCAACTTATCTTGAAATGATCTTCAACTTATCTTGAAATGATCTTCAACTCGAAATGACCTTGAATTGATCTCGAATGACTTAAAACTTATCGCAAAATGACCTTGAACTTTTCTCGAAATTACTTTAATGGTCTTGAACTTATCTCGAAATAACCTTGAACTTATCTCGGAATGACCTTTAATTTATAACGAAATAATCTAGAACTAATTTCGAAATGGCCCTATCTCGAAATGTCCTTCAACCTATCTCGAAATGCCCATGAATTTATTTTGAAATGACTTTGAATTTATCTTAAAATAATCTTGAACTAAATTCTAAATGATCTTATCTCGAAATGGCCTTCAATCTCTCGAAATAACCTTGAACTCATCTCGAAATGACCTTAAACTCCTCTGTAATGACCTTGAATTTATTTTATAATGATCTGGAATTTATTTTGAAATTATTTTAAACTCACTTCAAATGGCCTTGAACTTATTTCGAAATAACCTTGATCCTGTGTCGAAATAACCTTGAATTTATCTTAAAATAATCTTGAACTAATTTCTACATAATATTACCTCGAAATGGCCTTCAATCTCTCGAAATAATCTGGAACTCATCTCAAAATGACCTTAAACTCATCTCTAATGATCTTGAATGTGTTTTGAAATGATTTTGAACTTATCTCGAAATGATCTCAAACTCTTCAAACGGCCTTAAACGTATCTCGAAATAGCCTTGAACATATTTCAAAACGACCTTTAATTTATTTTAAAATATTCTTTAACTAGTTTCGAAATGGCCTTCAACCTATCTCGAAATGACCTTGAATTTATTTTGAAATCACCTTAAACTCACTTCAAATGGCCTTGAACTTATCTCGAAATAACCTTTACCCTATGTCGAAATAACTATGAATTTATCTTAAAATAATCTTGAACTAAATTCTAAATGATCTTATCTCGAAATGGCCTTCAATCTCTCGAAATAACCTTGAACTCATCTCGAAATGACCTTAAACTCATCTGTAATGACCTTGAATTTATTTTGAAATAATCTTTAACTTATCTCGAAATGACCTTAACTTACTTCAAATGTCCTTGAACTTATCTCAAAATAGCCTTGACCCGATATCAAAGAGACCTTGAATTTGTCTTAAAATAATCTTAAACTATTTTCGGAATGCCCTTATCTCGAAATGGCCTTAAACGATTCTCGAAATGGCCTTAAACGAATCTCGAAATAACCTTGAACTTATCTAGAAATAACCATAACCTCCAATAACCTTGAATTTATTTTGAAATGACCTTGAACCTATCTAGAACTGACCTTGAACTTATCTCGAAATGGCCATGAAGCTATCTTGAATCATCCTTAAGTTCCCAACTAACACATTTAGTGATTTATGATTAAAAAGTTTTATTAGGTACTTAATAGCTTATAGATAAACGTTTTATTTTATTGCAGTCACAGATATTATTTAGTTTTGAGAACATTTATAAAACTGTTTTATGACTTGATTAACCATTATCTTATAAATGTTCTTACAACTATCTCTAAACAACAATTTAGATACTACAGCATAATGCTTTTGTTAGGTATTTACTAGAGTCTTTCGCAACATCTATGAGATAATATTGCAATACTTTTATAACCGATTTCTTTCAAAACTTCACAACGTTCCCAGGTACCCTTTCAGCACTCTTATAAAAACGTCTTATTAAGGTTCACTATGATTTTTACTTCAAACCATTATAAATCATTAACAGGAGTAAATACATATATAATGGTCGTCTTTCAAATCTGCACAACGTTCTCAGGACTCTTTCTACAGTCTTATAAAGGTTTTATTAAGGTTTCAAACGATTATAAATCATTGACAATAGCAAATTTCTAGTAGTTATCCAAACCAATCTTGACAATTTGTCTGATAAGTCCGCCTATTGTTTGGTTCGCAGATACAAGACTGTCTCTAGAAGACAAAAAACGTCACCAAATCCTAACGAAACTGTGGACGGAACTGAAGGGCACCGAAGTAACGCCCAAACGACTTCTAGAAGCTTTAACCGCCGTAGATTCGGCTTTATGGGTGCCGCCAAAAAGGCCGGTGTCACTCAATTTACACTTGCCAATTTTACATTCGACCAAATACCGCAGATCCAGGCCCGTACTGGCTCAATCGACATCGAAGAGCGAAGAGGAAACTACGGGTAATGAGTCTCCAGAGAGTGGAAATAGAGATGAAGGTTAGTGCCCGTTAATCGACAGTTTATCCATTCAAAACGTTACTGTTTGTTTTAAGGTTATTCGACGATGTCTTCCGATGTTCAAGCCGACGTGACAAGGGGTTCGGGCGATGCGACGTTGCCGCGTCGAGGTTTGGAGGATCTGAAGGAGGCCAGCGACGAAACCGATGTTTCTGATAGTAGATTACTCGTTAGCGACAATAAAGATCCGGATATATTGTACATTCCTCTTAATTTATTGAATCTCAACCAAAGGTAAGTTGTTTGGCGCCCAACGTGGGGCCAAACGATTTTAATATCGAATTTAATTCATTAATATCCCATTAATTATAATAATAATTATTTAAAAGAGGCTTTAACAATGATTTAATCTTCATAACTTTTAAGAAAACTTTTTCGATATTTTTAAAGTATAATTAAGCGCAAAATAAGATGTTACGTTTTTTATTTTAATAAACGTTTATTTTATGTTGTTTTCAGAAATAGTTTTCCTCCCAGCAAAGATATCCTGCCATTTCAGCACATAATGCGGAGTTTCTCGGATTCGCATCTTTGTATTAAAATAACGGCGTCACCGTCGCCTTGCTACTCGTTTAGTTCGCCGATATCTAGCAGTCCGTCGATTTTTTTATTAGACATTACGGAAAAATCCATCAATCCGTTGAGGAGGGCGAGAGGTACTAACACCTTATGGGGTAAGTTATAATATTCCCCACCTTTTTTGTATAAAACTTTTTTTTGTAAACTTAATATTTATTAACTTATTAGTGTTTACATATTTTTAAAATTTGGCGCCCAACGTGGGGCCAATTTTTAAATTTTTATTTCACACAGTTTTTGTATTATTAATATTTAAGCTGCCTTATCGATTCTATAACTATCATTCGTATAGAATTGCGTATACCAGTATTTATAATTCTGCAATTAAAAATTTAGACACAACCATCGATTTAAATAGAAGTATTTGATATGAAAACATGAATTGTTTTTAATAACTTTCCTAATTTCTGTCTTTTCCTGGGCTAGTCTGACTTAGTCTCCGATAACACTGAAGCCTAATCTTGTCCTTTACCCATATTGTCTTAATAATCAGTTTATTACCTTAATAGCTTATACAAGTCCTTGACAAGGTGTTTTATATGTTCTTGGATCAACCTGTACTCTTGGTATGTATCCAAAGGCCAGGCTACTTCTGAATATGCTGCAGAGTCTTTTGTATAAAACGTCAGGTCGTATTTGTAGCATTATTGGATAAATCCAGTCGATTCCCGGTGATTTGTATGGTTCAAATGCAATCTGCCTATCTTCCTTGTTGGATCCTTTACGAGCTTTCATCAAGAACTATTAATTGTAGTACTTCTATATCTGTTTATTTATCATTTGCATTAGTTGTCATTATTACAACACTATTTTCCTGAGTATCTTCCCAGTAATATCCGAGAAACACGCTAAGGCCCTTCTGGCTCTTCGGTCTGCGCATGATTTTTCTGGTCGACGTTTTCGAGTTCTCTACATAGTGCCGTTTTTCCCGTTTGAATCGGACTAGTAATATCCGAGAAACACGCTAAGGCCCTTCTGACTTTTCGTTCTGCGCATAATTTTTCTGTTCGACGTTAAAAGATATTAAATTCTCCCCCCCACTCCCTCGTTTTCCCCGCTCAAATCTGATTAATAATAACCGAGATACGCGCTTATACCCTTCTGGCAATCGCAGGACTTTTCCCTTCAACGTTGATCTGTACCACATTCTCTACATAATATTCTCGTTTAAATCCGACGAATAATGGCCGAGATACACGCTTAGGTCCTTCTGGCATTGCTACTGCGCATGATTTTTCTCTTCAGCGTTAATCTATACCGAGTTGTATACACTCTCCCTTTTTTTCCGTTTGAATCGTACCAGTAATAACGGATATTGAAGCTTAGACCCTTCTGACAATCGCATTATTTTTCTATTCGACGTTAATACAAATTTAATCCCCCACTCCCCCGTTACACGATCCAGCCACGCATTAGGTTAGTTCCCACGGTCTTTAAAAAGTTCCCACTCCCAAGTGTCGGTACTCCTGCTTCCATTGTCAGGCCACCTTATTTAATTTTAATTTTGGGAAGATTATTCTGACTGCTCATTTCCGGGAAATCCGCATCCCGTGTAATAAACAACGAACCCACGGTTAGTAAACTACTACTACTACACTGACACACCTGTCACCCGCAACGACAAACCTTACGTCATTTTCGTTTCAACCGCCAAACAAATCTTCAAAATTGCATCGCCATGAACTAATCGCCATCTCTTTGTTTTCGCCCTTCCCCCAAAAGGGAACACCAACTTGGAATTCTGCCCGGAAGACGCGCGCACGCCCCTATCCTGGTCAAGCGGCGCAGACGATCGGCTCGAATGCACCGCTTGGGATGCTGAGTACATCCAGCACTGGTTGAAACTGGACGAGACACGATCGACGTTGCAGCAGCACCACAGAGACATGTTGGAGCTGGAGTACGATAGAGCTGAATTGGAGGATTGGAGTTTGAGTCTGTCGAACGATGATCTTCGGGAGCAGTGGAAGAAGAACGATGTTAGTACGCCGGGGCAGATTTCTATATCCACTCTGCCGAGTATACAGGAGAATAACGCTTTGGAACTGGAAGAGGATGCTAATGAGTGTTTGTGGAATAATTCCAGGTAGGTTTTTTAATTTTTTTATCTTTTTGTATGTTTTTCTATGTTGCTCTATATTTTTCTATGCTTTTCTATGTCTTTGTACGTTCCTATACCTTTATTTTTGGTAAAAAATGTTGTTATATCAGTCAAATAATTTTCTTCCGTTTCTATACGGTTTTATGTTATTTGTTTTATATATTTTTCCGTTTTCCTAGGTTTTCCTATATTTTTCTATGGTTTTCTGAATTATTGTAGGGTATTGTACGTTTCTGTAGGTTGTACATTTTTTAGTACGTTTTTAGTATATTTTTTAGTACGTTTTTAGTATCATTTTTATACGTTTTTATACGCTTTTATACGCTTTTATACGGTTTTCTTTGTTTTTGTATTTTTTTTTATATTTTTGATTTTATTTGTTTTATATATTGTTATATTCATTCTTCGGTTTTTTGTTTTTGTTTTTCTGTTTTCCTGTTTTCTATGCTTTCTTATTTTTCTTCTACGGTATTGTACGTTTCTGTATGTTTTTTGTTCGTTTTTAAGTACGTTTTTGTACGTTTATTTAGTACGTTTTTTAGTACGTTTTTTAGTACGTTTTTAGTACGTTTTTAGTATCTTTTTTAGTACGTTTTTGTACATTCTTATACCATTATTTTTGGTTAAAAATGTTATTATATCGGGTCAGGCAGATTTTTTCATTTTTTTGCATTTTTATACGATTTTGTTTTGTTTTTCTGTTTTAGGTTTTTCTGTGTTTGGTTTTTCTGATCTCCTATGTTTTTTTTTTACTTTCTATGGTTTTCTGGGTTATTGTAGGGTATTGTACGTTTCTGTGTGTTGTACATTTTTTTAGTACGTTTTTAATATCTTTTTAGTATCTTTTTTAGTACTTTTTTAGTATATTTTTTATTATCTTGTTTAGTATGTTTCTATACCTTTATTTTTGGTTAAAAATGTTACATCAGTCAGATAGATTTTTTTATTTTTTTTTGTTTTTATACGATTTTGTTTTTATTTTTATATATTTATTTTTTTGTTTTTTCTGTTCTTGTTTTCTGTTTTCTTGTGGTTTTCTACGTTTTTCTATATTTTTCTGTTTTCCAGCTTTTCCAAGTATATCTGTATTTTTTCTATGGCTTTCTATTTTTTTTTGTATGGTATTGTAAGCTTCTGTATGTTTCTTATACATTTTTTATTACGTTTTTAGTACGTTCTTAGTATCTTTTTTTAGTACGTCTGTACCTTCTTATATCTTTATTTTTGGTTAAAAATGTTGTATCGGCCCAGGCAGGTTTTTTATTTTTTTGCGATTTTATGTTTTTGTTTTATATTTTTTTCTCCTTTTCAATGTTTTCCAATGGTTTTCTAGGTTTTGGTAGGGTATTGTACGTTCATGTATGTTTTATGTACAATTTTTGTACGTTTTTAGTGTCTTTTAGTACGTTTTTAGTATCTATTTAGTACGTTTTTAATATGTTTTTGTACGTTTCTATACTTTTATTTTTGGTTAAAAATGTTATATCGGTCAGGTTTTTATTTTTTTGTTTTATATATTTTTCTGTTTTTGGTATTTCTGTTTTTTATGGTTTTCTACGCATCTCTACATTTTTTTTGTATGTTTTTCTATATTCTCTGTTTTCCTGCTGTTTCAAGTTTTTCTGTGGTTTTTCTGTTTTTTATTTTTTTGTACGGTATTGTAAGTTTCTGTTTTTTTTAGTACGTTTTTAGTATCTTTTTTAATGCGTTTTTGTACGTTCTTATACCTTTATTTTTGATTAAAAATGTTATATCTGTTATTTAATTCCTTCCTTCACTTTCTATAGTTACATGATGGACAAAGAAGGTAGGGAACTGGTCACGCTGCTGATGGACGCACCGAACGGTGAGAAACATTGGCCGTACGCCATTTCCAGCATCGTCCAGCAACAGATATCGCCAGACAACAGCTGGTCGAGCGGAGGTTCGGATTGCTGTAACTCGCACGAGCCCGAAACTTGCTCCAAACGGTCATCGGTGGCTTTAAGCGGCTCCAGTGACGATACGGGGGAACTTCCCGCGGTCGGGACCGATTTCACTAGGGATTTTTATAGGTGAGTGTATAAATAACCGTTACAATAATAGCGATTAATACTGAACATTTTAATCTCTTTTAGTACGTATTTAATACATGTTTAAATACTTTTTAAGCACGTTTTAAATACGATTGTAATATTTTTTAATACGTCTTTTAGTACACTTTTAGAATGTTTTTAGTACTTTTGTCAGTACCGTTTTTTAGTACGTATTTGTACGTTCTTAGTACATCTTAATACGTATTTTAGTACATTTTTTGTTGTTTTCAGTACGTTTGTTAGTACCGTTTTAAGTACATTATTAGTACATTTTTTTAGTACGTTTATATACGTTTGTTAGTACCGGTTTTAAGTACATATTTATACGTTTGTTAGTACCAGTTTTAAGTACATCTTTTAGTACGCTTTTAGTACGTTTTTAATACGTTTGTCTGTACCGTTTTTAAGTAAATTTTTTAATTCTATTTTTTAGTATGTTTTGTACTTTTTAGTACGTTTTTGTTCTTTTTAATACGTTTTAGTACGTTTTTAATACTTGTTTAAGACGTTTTTAAATACATTTTTTAGTACGTTCTGAATTTGTTTTTAGTACGTTTGTCAGTACTGTTTTTAAGTACAATTTTTAGTACGGCTTTATACGTTTTTAGTACGTCTTTATACGTTTTTAGTACATCTTAATACGTTTTTTTGTACGCTTTTATTACGTTTTCTGGGATGTTTTCAATACGTTTGTTAGTATTGTTAAGTACATTTTTTAGTACGTTCTGAATTTGTTTTTAGTACGTTTGTCAGTACTGTTTTTAAGTACAATTTTTAGTACGGCTTTATACGTTTTTAGTACGTCTTTATACGTTTTTAGTACATCTTAATACGTTTTTTTGTACGCTTTTATTACGTTTTCTGGGATGTTTTCAATACGTTTGTTAGTATTGTTAAGTACATTTTTTAGTACGTTTCTGTACATTCATTATTTAATAAGTTTTTGTTAATACATTATTACTCCTCTGAACACAATGAAACCCCATTTATAGGAATATCTCAAGTCCAATCATTGCCTACTTCTTTTTAGTTCAATAATGTCATCCTATCTGTATGGAAAATCACATCTAATTCTGTTAAGTTTGTTATTACTGTTTTTAGATACATCTTTTAAGTATGTTTTTAATATATTTTTAATACGTTTTTAAAACGATTTTAATACTTTGTAATACGCTTTTAGAATGTTTTTAGTACTTTTGCTAGTACCGTTTTTTAGTACGTATTTGTATTTTTTTAGTACATTTTTATACGTATTTTAGTAGGTTTTTTAAGTACATTTTTTAGTACGTTTATATACGTTTGTTAGTAGCAGTTTTAAGTACATTTGTATACGTTTGTTAGTACCAGCTTTAAGTACATCTTTTAGTACATTTAATACGTTTTTTAGTACGCTTTTAGTACGTTTGTCAGTACCGTTTTTTGGCATTTTTGAAGTACATTTTTTAGTAGGTTTTGTACTTTTTAATACGTTTTTAATACGTGTTTAACACGTCTTTAATAAGTTTTTAATACTTTTTTAATACATTTTTTAGTACGCGTTTAGTACGTTTTTAATTTGTTTTTAGTACGTTTGTTAGTAGCTTTTTTAAGTACAATTTTTAGTACGTTTTTTAGTACATCGTAATACATTTTTTGTACGCTTTTATTACGTTTTCTGGGATGTTTTCAATACGTTTGTTAGTATTATTAAGTACATTTTTAGTACGTTTTTTGTACGTACATTATTTAGTAAGTTTTTGTACGTACATCTTTTAGTATGTTTGTACGTTTATTAATACATTATTACTCCTCTGAACAATGAAAATCCATTTTATAGTGAATTTTTAGGAATATCTCAAGTCCAATCGTTGTCTACTTTTTTTTAGTTCAAAATGAAAATTTCTTTTCCAGATTAGTAAAATTCGAAAGCACCAAAAGCCTCGCGTCGACGTCGTCGCGAAGCCTAGGCGGCTGTCTGAGCGACACCGGCGACAGGGAGACCACGCTACAAAACGTCCTGACGTTCATAGCCGAACAACAAAAATACGTTCACTATAGAGAACCGACGACGAGGCCCTGCTCGGCCAACGAACACACCAAAGATTTCAACATCGAGGGCCCGCCTCAGCACTTGGACGATATCAAGAACAGCGACAGCGATTACAGCATACCGAAGAGCGACAACGAGAATTACGTGACGCTGAAGCAGTTGTGCGAGGAGTACTGCTTGAAGGAGAAAGAGAAGGAGGAGATCGTCAAAGTAAGTACCTCGATAAGTGATGTTGACAGTATGCTAATTAACTAGCGCTATTAGTGTTGTCATTTTCTGGTAGGTTTTTAATACGTTTTTAATACATTTTTAATACCTTTTTAATACCTTTTTAATACCTTTTTAATACCTTTTTAATACCTTGTAATACCTTTTTAATACCTTTTTAATACCTTTTTAATACCTTTTTAATACCTTTTTAATACCTTTTTAATATCTTTTTAATACCTTTTTAATACCTTTTTAATATCTTTTTAATACCTTTTTAATACCTTTTTAATACCTTTTTAATACCTTTTTAATACCTTTTTAATACCTTTTTAATACCTTTTTAATACCTTTTTAATACCTTTTTAATACCTTTTTAATACCTTTTTAATGCCTTTTTAATGCCTTTTTAATACCTTTTTAATACCTTTTTAATACCCTTTTAATACCTTTTTAATACCTTTTTAATGCCTTTTTAATACCTTTTTAATACCTTTTTAATACGTTTTTAATGCCTTTTTAATACGTTTTTAATACGTTTCTAATACGTTTTTAATACGTTTTAAATATGTTTTTAATACGTTTTTTAATACGTTTTAATACGTTTTAATACGTTTTAATACGTTTTAATACGTCTTTAGTACGTTTTTATTAGTTTTTAATACGTTTTTTAATGCGTTTTAATAGGTTTTGACAGGTTTTTAATACTTTTTACGTTTTTAATACGTTGTACATTTTTAATACGTTTTAAATACGTTTTTTGATGCGTTTTAATAGGTTTTGTTACCTACTTTTTGATTTCTACGATGTAAATTGTACTTAAGAGGTGATTTAGCTCAAATTGCTGGTACTGCGTGGATTCATAAATTGGCCAGGGACAAATAAAATCAGACTAGTTTGGCCTGTTCGCGGGCCAAAGTCTACTTTACGATAAAATAAAAGATACTATAATACGATAACGACAGAAATGTTGAGCGCCACCAAGTTTTTGAGTAACTTGGAAAACTTATCTGATTTTATATGCCCTGTTTAATTGAGTCAGTCTCTGGTACCTAAAGTTATCTGTTATGAGCTCAGGCAAATAAAAGAAAGAGAAAATTTAATACATGCAATTACACATTCCATGTGGCATTATATAGCAGTACTTCCCTCTTAAATCGTCTCCTGGGTAGATAAAGTCTGTCCGATACTTTGAAGGTACTTGGAGCTATGTCGAGACTTGGAGATATGTCCAAACTTGGTGCTACATGGAGCTGTTTCAGAGCTGAACAAAATATAACATATTTATAAGGCCAAAATAAGTTAAGAGCCATAGATTTCTGTTTAAATTGTATTTCGAGACTGACTTGTAATTCAATTATTTAATTGCCTCCCCGCGTATATATCAAAGAACGCTTAAAAATATTATTAGGTAGGGTAGCTATAATCTATATAAAATAAAACAATAATAATAACCGGCACTCGTCGACATGATGGTAATTTAAAAAAAGCACATGGCCGATCCTTCGGTCTTCCAACTAAATCCAGCAAAGCGTTAAAATATAAGTTGAAAAAAACATTACCTGACAATTAATGCCAACGGTAACACACAATAAGCACATATAAAAGACAAGATAATTATGGAAATTTACTCATAATAACCACAAACTAGTAGATTATTTGTCGGCACAACACTACCACATAGTTCGATAAGCCAAAAGGACGGACCAGGCAACAGCAGCCAGTTTTATAGTTCACCAGCGTGAATGTAGAAGAAAATGATTGACCGTCGCGCAAGCCGTGCTTTTCCAATCCAGAGCGAGCGAATTACGAGGGATTATGGAGAAATTGTTGTTAAAAATAAATTTGAAATTAATTTAAAATTAACGGTTTTTAACAGGTTTTTAATACGTTTTTAGTATGTTTATTAATACAGTTTTTAAGTGCATTTTTTAGTACCTTATTCCACGTTATTAGTACGCTTTTAATACATCTAAAACGTTTTTAATATTTCTATTAGTACGCTTTTAGTACGTAGTACCATTTTTTGATACGTTTTTAATGTTTGTTATTGCCGTTTTAAAATACATTTTTATAAGTTTGTTAGTACAGTTCTTAAGTACATTGTTCTAATACGTTTCGTACGGTTTTAATATATTTTAAATACGTTTTAAATACGTTTTAAATACGTTTTAAATACGTTTTAAATGCGTTTTAAATACGTTTTAAATACGTTTTAAATACGTTTTAAATACGTTTTAAATACGTTTTAAATACGTTTTAAATACGTTTTAAATACGTTTTAAATACGTTTTAAATACGTTTTAAATACGTTTTAAATACGTTTTAAATACGTTTTAAATACGTTTTAAATACGTTTTAAATACGTTTTAAATACGTTTTAAATACGTTTTAAATACGTTTTAAATACGTTTTAAATACGTTTTAAATACGATTTAAATACGTTTTTAATACGTTTTAAATACTTTTTTAATACGATTTTGATACATTTTTAATACATTTTTTCAATACGATTTTAGTACGTCTGTTAGTACACTTTTAGAATATTTTTAGTACTTTTGTTAGTACCGTTTTTAATACGTTTTTTGGTATGTTTTTAGTACTTTTTTTAGTACCGTTTTAAAGTACATTTTTTAGTACGTTTATATATGTTTGTTAGTACCGGTTTCAAGTACATTTTTATACGTTTGTTAGTACCACTTTTAAGTACATCTTTTAGTACGTTTTTGTATGTTTTTTAGTATGCTTTTAGTACATTTGTAAGTACGTTTTTGTACTTTTTAGTACGTTTTTGCTCTTTTTAGTACGATTTTGTACTTTTTAATTCGTTTTTAAAACGTAACACGTTTTTAATAAGTTTTTTAATGCGCTTTTAGTACTTCTTTTAGTACGCTTTTAGAATGTTTTTAGTACTTTTGTTAGTACCGTTTTTTAGTACCTATTTGTACGTTTTTAGTACATCTTAATATGTATTACGTATTTTAGTACGTTTTTTGGTATGTTTATAGTACGTTTGTTAGTACAGTTTTTAAGTACATTTTTTAGTACGTTTATATACGTTTGTTAGTACCGGTTTTAAGTACATTTTTGTACGTTTGTTAGTACCAGTTTTAAGTACATCTTTTAGTACATTTTTATACGTTTTCCAGTACGCTTTTAGTACGTTTGTCAGTACATTTTGAAGTACATTTTTTAGAACGTTTTTGTACTTTTTAGCACGTTTTTGTATTTTTTAATAAATTTTTTGGGATGTTTTTAGTACGTTTGTTAGTCTAGTTTTAAGTACATTTTTTAGTACGTTTTTGTACGTACATCTTTTAGTACAGGTTTGTACTAAATAGAAAAAATATGCTTCCTAGTCAGAGTCACAAATCATATTTTCTGAGTTCTAAGTGAAAAATATCTATTTTTCGGAGATAAAAGTAAAAAAGTATTTTCTGAGTTTTAAATCGAAAAATTTGTTATTTAGAGATACAATTATTCTAAAAAATAAAAATGTTCTGAATCAAAAGATAGTATTTTCTAAGTTTTATCTCGAAAAAATATAGTATTCGGATATACAAATACAAAATATGTTTTCCGAGTTCTAAGTCTAAAAAAAAATATAATATTTGGAGTCACAAGTTAGAAAAATATATTTTTTTGAGTGCTAACTCGAAAACATATTTTTCCGAGTCAGAATCGAGAAAAATCATATTTTCTAAATTTTAAGTACACAAAATATATTATTAAGTCACAAGTAAAAAAAAAATCGTATTTTCTGAGTTCCAAGTCGAAAATATTTATTATGCGGAGATACACAAGTAAAAGAATCTTTTTTCTGAGTTCTAAGTCTAAAAATCTGTTATTCGGAGATCCAAGTGAAAAAAAAATTGTATTTTCTAAGTTCTATGTCGCCCAGCTTGGAAGATATTTTAATTAATCTCCCACCAGTGTCATCCTATCTTTATGGCAAAACTTGTTTAATTTTATCTCGCAAATTTTTTTTAAGTTATAAAATTTCTGATCTTTTTGCTTCGAAATTTTTTACAAATTTGGCGCTAAACGTGAAGGAATTTTATTTTAGTTTAGTGTTAGTAATATTACGTACTGGTTTTTGAGAATTTTATCTTTTTTGAGTTCAAAATGTCATTTATTTAAAAAAAATTGGCGCCCAACGTGGTAAAATTCGTTTTAAGTATCTCCCGGTTAATTCTATCGTTATTATTATTATTAGGACAACCGGGACATCAAAGAGAACATCAAACACGCCGAAGAGGTTTGTCTGGTGACCCCCATAGACTTGGAGAGCGAGAATTGCTCCAACATAACCGAACAACCGGTCGACATATGCAGCAGTGTATCGGTCGAAATAACCTCGACCGAATACCAAAGCTGCGTATCGAAAACCGGCAACGCTGTCGAAGAAACGGACGAAAAAAGTGATACAATAATTAGTGACTTAACGAAATCTAGTGATACGACTTTTAGTGATACGAACAATTGCGAATCGTTGACTTCCAGTGTTAGTACGCCGGATACGGTCGTGTCGAAGATACCGAAACGGAAGACGCAGCAATCCAGGATACCGATCAGTCCTGCGCGAGTGATTGCCGTCAACAACAATAACAACAATCAGAATCATCATAATAATAACAATAAGGAGAACTTGAAGGAGACGAAATTACCAAAGAGCAAGATACCGCACAAAAATGGCAAGCCGAAACAAAAGGTAAGATATGTGCGAATTTTTTGACAGATGACAGGTTAACAAAATTATATACAGACACAAGTCAAAAAAAATCATATTTTATAAGTTCTATGTCGGAAAAGTATTTTTTGCATCAAAAGTCATATTTTCTGAGTCTAAGTGGAAAAATATTTTATTAAGTTCTTAATCTAAAAAATATGTTTATGAGTAAGAAATAAGAAAAATCATATTTTCTGAGGTCTTAGTGGAAAAAAAAATCTATTATTAGGAATCACAAGTCAGATAAAACACTTTCTAAGTTCTTAGTCTAGAAAATATGTTTTTCTGGGTAATAAATAAGAAAAATATATTCTGAGCCATTCAACATGGCAAAAAAAACATTTTCTGAGTTCGAAGTCAAAAAAAATATGTTTTTCTGCGACAGAAATAAGAAAAATCATATTTTCTGAGGTCTAAGTGGAAAAAATCTTGTTAATTTCAGCAAAAAATAGTCCACGTCCAGCAAAACAACTCGCCTCAACACATAGTAACGTCCGAGAAGTTGCCGCAGAGTACGTCCGGCATACTGAGTAACATAATCGAAGGACCACCTCATAGAGCTGTCAGTTTCCACGAGAGGGCCACGTCAAAGGACGTCATCGACGAGTTGAATCGCATGATCAAGAGCGGCGACGACTTAGTACTGGGACAAGATGGCGCGCAGGATAACGGAGGCAAGCTGGATCAAGCGTGCAGGAGTACCGGTTGGGTGCACGTCGAAAAAGATATAGATCTGGCCGATCCAAAGGTAAGATTTTTAGATTTTTATAATCTTAATTATTTTAATCTCTTCTACTATGGTTGCCAAAAAATCCCGCATAAAATTAAACCCACAAAATTAATATCTTTCACATAAAATCAATCCTAGAAAAATGATCCCACATAAAATCGACCCAACATAAAAATCCCACATAAAAATCAAATTTATCCCACAAAATCAAGTCCATATAAAATCGGTTCTGCATAACAATCGATCCCATAAAACCGATCTCATATAAAATCGACCTTGTATAAAACCGATCCCACATAAAAATCAATCAATACCATATGCAGATAATTCTTACATAAATCAATCCCACATAAAAAACAACGCAGACATGTAACCCAAAATTAAAGCAATCCCACAAAACGAGTCCACATAAAAGTGAATCATATAAAACATTAATCCCACATAAAATCATGTTCATCTCAAATCGATTCTGCATAAAAATCGTTCTCATATAAAAACGACTTCAATAAAACCGATCCCACATAAAAATCACTACCACATACAAATTAATTTCACATAAATCAATCACATAAAAATCAAACTCATAATAAAAGCAATCTCACAAAATGATCCAATCTAAAAGTCAAATAATGCAAAAAATTGATCTCATATAAAATCAAGTCATCTAAAATCGATTCTATATAAAAATTGATCTCATAAAATCGACCCCACATAAAAATCATCACCACTTACAAATTAATCTCGCATATAAAGTAATCCCGCATCAAAATTAATGCGATAATAAAAACAATCTTTCATTAAATATATCCCACATAAAATCAATCCAATAAATATAATCCCACATAAAATTTAATCCTGTACGAAATCGGTCCTACATAAAATCAATTATACCTAAAAAAAATCGATCCCACATAAAAACTATCCCACATAAAAATAAATTCATCACAAAAATCTAATCCATAATAAAAGCAATCCCACAAAAGGATTCCACATAAAGTTATTTACTAGAAAAAATGATCATACAAAATTAAGTCATCCAAAAATAGATTCTACATAAAAATTGATCCCATAAAACTACATAAAAATTAATGCCACATATAAATCAGTCCCACATAAAATTTAATGCCATAGTAAAAACAATCCTACATAAAATCAAACCCACATAAAATTATTCCAACTATAATCCCACATAAAAGTAAATCCTGTATAAAATCGGTAAAATAAATTCCACCTAAAATTGATTTCACATAAAAACGATCCCGCATAAAAATCAATTCCATGTAACAATAAAACCCACAGTAAAGGTAATCACACATAAAAAATTAATTCCGCATAAAAATCAATCCTGCATAAAATTAATCCCACACAAAATCAATTTCACCTTAAACCGATTGTACATAAAAATCGATCTTATAAAACCAATCACATTTAAAATCGATCACACATTAGAAATAAATCCCACCTAAAAATTAGATTCACAAAAAATCATCACATAAAAATCAATTCCCTAATTAATGCAATCTGACATAAAACCAATCCCACAAAAAGATCTCAAATAAAAGTCTATACTGCATAAAATAAATCTCATAAAATTCCTCCTAAAAGTTAATCCTGCATAAAATCGATCCCACATAAAAATCAATTCCATGTAACAATAAAACCCGTAGTAAAAATAATCACACATAAAATTAATTTTACAAAAAAGTAAATCCTGCATGAAATTAGTCCCACATAAAACCAATTCCACCTTAAACCGATTGTACATAAAAATCGATCTAATAAAACCAATCACATAAATCGACCCCATACAAAATAAATCCAACCTAAAAATTAGGTTCTTAAAAAAATCATCACATAAAAATCATTCCCCTAATTAATGCAATCCGACATAAAACTAATCCCACAAAAAAGAGCTCAAATAAAAGTATATCCTGCATAAAATAAATCCCACAAAACGATCCCACATTAAATTAATTTCACCTGAAATTGTTTCTACATAAAAATCGAACCTATAAAACCGATACCATATAAAATCATTACTACATAAAAATTAGTAACACAAAAATATATCACATCAAAAAATCCCACATAACAACGATCCCGCATAAAAGTAAATCTTGCATAAATCCCAAAAATCTACTCCATATAAAATCGATCCTACATAAAACTATATACATAAAAATTAATCTAAGAATTAGAGCAATCGCACAAAATCATCCTAATGATCCCACATAAAAGTTAAACCTGCACAAAACCGATCCTATATAAAATCGATCCTACATAAAAATTATAATATAAAATCAATTCCACATAAAAAATCCCTCCTAAAATTGATTCCACATAAAAATCAAACCTATAAAACCGATTCTTACATAAAAATCAGTAACACAAAATATATCTCACATTAAAATCAAGCTCGCAAAAATAAATCTCATAATAAAAACAATCCCACATAAAAGCAATCCTGCAAAAATCCAAAAATCGACTCTATATAAAATCGAACCTACATAACACTAATCTCATAATAATAGCAATCGCAAAAAATTATTCCCACATAAAAGTTAAACCTGCCCAAAACCAATCCTTTTTAAAAACGATCCTACATAAAAGTCAATTTCACATAAAAATCAATCAGACATAAAAATAAATCCCGCAGTAAAATAAATTCCTTATAAAAATCAATCCGGCAGAAAAATAAATTCCACATAATAATCAATCCCACATAAAAGGTAATTGCTCATAAAAATCAATCCCATAATAAAACCAATCCCACATAAAATGATGTGGGGACCTTGTAGGCCATTTAGTTATGTTTCTTTCTCTAAAAGTAATGCCCAAATGTTATCTCTAACTTAAAATTTAAAACAATAATTGCCGAGTGTGGTAAAATTTCGAAATCGGAAATCCATTTTTGATGTAAAAATAAAAATATATAGTCATCGTTCATTCACCATCTACAAACTTCGATTCCCAATTGATCATTATGTAAATATTTTTCATTTACAATGCTAATCGTTTTCTTTTTTCGTTTACTCTAGATACAAAATTATCTTTCGATAAACGCATTTTAGTTTTGTGATAATCCCAAACGAATTAGTCAAATTTCTAAATTCCATTGTCGAGAAAAAATAATAAAAATCGTAAGTACGTTTTTTTAAACATATTTTTATCTTAGTTAAAAATTGTATGAGCGAAATTTTGACTAGTATGCAAACGTCTAATTTTACAAAATTTCCTGATATTTAACGAAAACATAACGATTTTGTTGTGTCGCTTTGCCAAGTCTCGCCCACTCCTTGTTAGCCCTCCGATTCGAGACAAGTTTCCTGTCGTAAATACTCCACGTAAACGATATAATCATGATTGTCGGCGTATTTTCCAGGCTAGAGCCAATCTGCTGGACGTCATGATGGCATCTGTGGGCTCCAGCGATTCATCGCCGACGTCTTCTTGTGGAGGCAGCGTCGCCAGCGACTCCACCGAAGATCCGCCGGATTACGGCCACCTCCACAGGATCCACAAATACCATCGGCAGAAAAAAGGTAAAGTAATTTTGGCCAAGCAGCGCTGATGATGTCCTAAAACAGTTATTATCGATAACGTAATTATTTTTAACTTTTCAAATAGTAGAAAATGTACGGTTTGTTTCCTCAATGAAAACGTTATAATGACACTTGACAAGTTGACAGTTCTGCTGCTTTGACGTGTCTATCTCTCTTATTTTTTACTAACTGTCAAAATATCAGTAATAAACTTATTTAGGATCGTTGTATGGATAAATAACTTTTCTAGGACATCTGTCATATTTAAAAAAGCCATTTTTAGTTGAAAAACAAAATATATTCAATTTTATTTAGACATTTTGAGTTTATGTAGCCGAATATTAATAAATTTAACTCGTTTTCTTTTGCCCACTAATAGCATGTAGATTTTAGTTGAATTTTTATACACAATTTTCCAATAATTGACACCTTAACTGATACGTCAATCTCATTAGTTAACGTGTCATTATTACTGATGGAATTTTAAGAACAGTTTTGTATTGCAGAATTTCTTTTGACAGTTGCCAAGTTTAACATTTGACACTGTGACATTTGACAGTTTGGCATTTGACAGTTTGATATTTAACAGTTCAACATTTAACAATTTGACAGTTTAACAGTTGTCGTTTGAAATTTAACAGTTTTAATAGTTTGACATTGGACTGCTTGACATTTGACAGCTTCATATTTGACAGTTTAACATTTGACAGCTTCATATTTGACAGTTTAACATTTGACAACTTTTTATTTGACATTTTTACATTTGAATTGTGATAGTTTTACATTTGACAGTATGACTTTTAATAGTTTACGCTTGACATAAGATAGTGACATTAAACAGTTTGACATTATACAGTTGGCGTTCGACAGTTGACAGTTTTACTTGGTTTAATTGTGATAGTTTTATATTTGACAGTTTGACATTCGGTAGTTTACATTTTATATTTGATAGTTTTACGTTTGAAATTTGTCAATTTTACGTTTGACAGTTAGTTTGAAATTTAGCAGTTTTACGTTTGAATTGTGATAGTTTACATTATTTGACAGTTTAACATTCGATAGTTTACGTTTTACATTTGATAGTTTTACGTTTGACATTAGATAGTGACATTAGACAGTTTGACATTATACAATTGGCGTTCGACAGTTGACATTTAACAATTTTACGTTTGAATTGTGATAATTTTATATTTGACAGTTTAACATTCGATAGTTTACGTTTTACTTTTGTTAGTTTTACGTTTGACATTTGTCAGTTTTACGTTTAAAAGTTATAAGTTTAAAATTTGACAGTTTTACGTTTGTGAAATTTTGCAAAAAAATGATCTCTATTATTATTATTTATTTAACCTTAAGCTAGTGTCAGTTAAACTGCTTACCAGTTATATAAATGACATTTTGATAGCTTAACATTTGACAGCTAGAAAACAAAATTTATGAAGTTTTGCAAAAAAAGATCTCAATTATATTCGTTTAACCTTTAACTGATTGACAATTTGATTGCTTGACAATTAGATAAATGACATATTGATAGCTTCACATCTGACAGCTTGAGTGCAAAATTTATCAAGTTTTGCAAAACAAGCAAGTAAACGATCTTAATTATCTTGTTTTAACCATTAATTAATTGACAGTTTGACCCAATTGACAGTTTGACAATTATATAAATGACATTTTGACAGCATGACATTTGGTAGCTTGACATTTGGCAGCTTGACATTTAGTAGCTTGACATTTGGCAGGTTGAGTGCATCCTTTATGCAGTTTTGCAAAAAATAAGCAACTAAACTATTCTAATTATCTTGTTTTGCAAAAAAAGATCCCAATTATATTCGTTTAACCCCTAGCTAATTGACAGTTTGATTACTTGACAATTATATAAATGACATATTGACAGCTTCACATTTGACAGCTTAGATGCAAAATTTATGAATTTTTGCAAAAAACAAGCAGGTGCACGTTCTTAATTATCTTGTTTTAACCGTTAGCTAATTGCCAGTTTGACAATTATACAAATGGCATTTTGACAGCTAGACATTTGACAGATGCAGACCAAAACTTATGAAGTTTTGCAAAAAATTCAATTATATTCGTTTAATCGGCAGCCATTTGACAATTATATAAATGACATTTTGACAGCTTGGATGCAAAATTTATGAAGTTTTGCAAAAAAAAACAAGCAAGTAAACGATCTTAATTATCTTGATTTAACTGTTAGTTAATTGACAGTTTGACAGTTATATACATGACATAAATGACATTTTGACAGCTTGACATTTGACATTTTTTTAAAAAACAAGTTATTAACGATTTAGATTATCTTCGAGTTTTCAAGACATTTTGTGGTATGAAAATATAAATTTTTGTTGTGTATAAAAATTCAAACATTAGAGCTCACGTTTTTTTTTAACAATGACCAATGTACTACACAAAAAACAATCCCAAACATTTTACTGAAGTACGTTTGATCACCATAATTTTTGTTCTTCTTGTAATTGGTCATTTTATTTCTCTCTGTCTGTCTACTATCTTTCTTCTTTCTTTAGCTATGTTTATTTCTGTACATTTCTATTTTTCATTTCACTAGTAGTACCTTCTTTTTTTAGTTTATTTTTATCTTTTTAATTTACGCTACAGTAATATACTGATGTCTCTAGTAGTCGTCAATCACTTGTTACTTATATTTTTATTTGACATTTATTTATTCTGAGTTTGTTTACTGATTTTTATTCTCATGATAATTTTTGTCGTTCATGCTATCCAAGCAACAAACATTTTGTCAGATTTTCACCTATTAAACTGTTCTACAAAAAATCTTTCATTGAAAATCAATCACATAAGTTGAAAGAATGTCACATAAGTGGAAAGACAATTATATGAGTTGAAAGACGGTCACATGACTGAAAAGGCGATTATATGAATTGAAAGAGTTGAAAGTAGGTCATATGAGTGGAAAGACGATCGTATAAGTGGAAAGACGATCACATGAGTTGAAAGACGGTCACATAAATTGAAAGACGATTAGATTTAAAAAGCTATTAAATGAGTTACGGTTACATTAATTGAAAGATGATTATATGAGTTGAAAGACGGTGACATGAGGCGCAAAACAATTATATGAGTTGAAAGGTGCCCACATGCGAGGAAAGAGGAGCATGAATTAGACGATCACATGAGTTGAAAGACGGTCACATGAATTGAATGAGTTGAGAAACGATAATATTAGTTAAAAAAAGGTCACATGAGTTGAAAGGCGGTCACATATAAACACATAAGCGTTGAAAGATAACCATATTATAAGTGAAAAGACGATCACATTAATTAAAAGACGCCATAATAAAACACGATTCAAACTGAATTGGCTTTATTTTTTGTCGTAAAAATGCTCACAACTAACCAAATAAAAAAGTGTAAAAAAACTGTTTTTTACAGGAAAAAAACACTACTTTGAATTATTTGCATTCAAGAAAGACTAAATTGAAGGTTTCATACAATTAGAGAAAATGAGTAGAAGAGAATAGAAACAAAATATATTTATAGTGTCGATTTACCACAAACATGAGTTGAGAGATGATTATGTGAGTTGAAAGACGGTGACACGAATGATAAAGCGAGAATATGAGTTGAAAAATGGACACATGAGTGTAAAGACGATCACATTCCTTAAAAGAGGATCACATGCGTTGAAAGACTGGCACATTAGTAGAAAGGCGATCACATGAGTTGAAAGAAGATTGTATGAGTTGAAAGACAGTCACATGAGTTCAGTGAGTTAAGAAACTGTCACATTAGTTGAAAAACGATCACATGAGTCGACTAGATTGAGAAACGGTCATATTTGTTGAAAGACGATCACATAACTTCTAAAATTAGAAACAATATAGTTTAATATGATACAAAATAAGTCAGATCCTTATAAAGGGTATAATTCATCTCTTACTTTAGCATTATAAATTTATTTTAAAGAACTTTTATTAATAAATTTGCTGACAAAGTGGTATGTTGCTTACTCTAAGCTAAATCTTTTACACTGTGGCTTAACTTCTTCGCCATTTCGAAATATTTATTTTACTACAAAACGTTTTAAAAAATATGAACTCCTGATTTTTAAATTGATAATAATCGTTGCTATTGTTTTTAAAACATTTTAAAATATTTAATTTTAGTTAGGATTTTAATATTTTTAAAACAAGCACTATCTTTCCATGCTTCAAACAAACAAAAAACTATTCATCCAACCATCTAATTGTAGTGAATCAAATGCAGTACATACCTTACTATCTTAGTACGTCACATGCGTCAGAAACTTGTCAACCTTTCGGCAACCTTTACGTGGCAATCTTAGTGTATGGCAAAGTTTAAACTCATCTCCTTGGCAACTGGGTTGCTAAAAATCTATTATATTTATACATGGTTAAAAATAAACAAAAATAAAAATAAATAAAAAATAAATAAAAATAAATAAAAATAAATAAAAATAAATAATAAATAAAAATAAATAAAAATAAATAAAAATGAATAAATAAAAATAAATAAAAATAAATAGAAATAAATAAAAATATATAAAAATAAATAAAAATAAATAAAAATAAATAAAAATAAATAAAAATAAATAAAAATAAATAAAAATAAATAAAAATAAATAAAAATAAATAAAAATAAATAAAAATAAATAAAAATAAATAAAAATAAATAAAAATAAATAAAAATAAATAAAAATAAATAAAAATAAATAAAAATAAATAAAAATAAATAAAAAAAAATAAATAAAAATAAATAAAAATAAATAAAAATAAATAAAAATAAATAAAAATAAATAAAAATAAATAAAAATAAATAAAAATAAATAAAAATAAATAAAAATAAATAAAAATAAATAAAAATAAATAAAAATAAATAAAAATAAATAAAAATAAATAAAAATAAATAAAAATAAATAAAAATAAATAAAAATAAATAAAAATAAATAAAAATAAATAAAAATAAATAAAAATAAATAAAAATAAATAAAAATAAATAAAAATAAATAAAAATAAATAAAAATAAATAAAAATAAATAAAAATAAATAAAAATAAATAAAAATAAATAAAAATAAATAAAAATAAATAAATAAAAATAAATAAAAATAAATAAAAATAAATAAAAATAAATAAAAATAAATAAAAATAAATAAAAATAAATAAAAATAAATAAAAATAAATAAAAATAAATAAAAATAAATAAAAATAAATAAAAATAAATAAAAATAAATAAAAATAAATAAAAATAAATAAAAATAAATAAAAATAAATAAAAATAAATAAAAATAAATAAAAATAAATAAAAATAAATAAAAATAAATAAAAATAAATAAAAATAAATAAAAATAAATAAAAATAAATAAAAATAAATAAAAATAAATAAAAATAAATAAAAATAAATAAAAATAAATAAAAATAAATAAAAATAAATAAAAATAAATAAAAATAAATAAAAATAAATAAAAATAAATAAAAATAAATAAAAATAAATAAAAATAAATAAAAATAAATAAAAATAAATAAAAATAAATAAAAATAAATAAAAATAAATAAAAATAAATAAAAATAAATAAAAATAAATAAAAATAAATAAAAATAAATAAAAATAAATAAAAATAAATAAAAATAAATAAAAATAAATAAAAATTAATAAAAATAAATAAAAATAAATAAAAATAAATAAAAATAAATAAAAATAAATAAAAATAAATAAAAATAAATATAAATAAATAAAAATAAATTAAATTAAAATAAATATAAATAAATAAAAAATTAAAATATATGAAAATAGATAAAAATAGATAAAAATAGATAAAAATAGATAAAAATAGATAAAAATAGATAAAAATAGATAAAAATAGATAAAAATAGATAAAAATAGATAAAAATAGATAAAAATAGATAAAAATAGATAAAAATAGATAAAAATAGATAAAAATTGATAAAAATAGATAAAAATAGATAAAAATAGATAAAAATAGATAAAAATAGATAAAAATAGATAAAAATAGATAAAAATAGATAAAAATAGATAAAAATAGATAAAAATAGATAAAAATAGATAAAAATAGATAAAAATAGATAAAAATAGATAAAAATAGATAAAAATAGATAAAAATAGATAAAAATAGATAGATAAAAATAGATAAAAATAGATAAAAATAGATAAAAATAGATAAAAATAGATAAAAATAGATAAAAATAGATAAAAATAGATAAAAATAGATAAAAATAGATAAAAATAGATAAAAATAGATAAAAATAGATAAAAATAGATAAAAATAGATAAAAATAGATAAAAATAGATAAAAATAGATAAAAATAGATAAAAATAGATAAAAATAGATAAAAATAGATAAAAATAGATAAAAATAGATAAAAATAGATAAAAATAGATAAAAATAGATAAAAATAGATAAAAATAGATAAAAATAAATAATTAAAAATAAAAAAAAAATAGATGACTAAATAAAAATCCTTCTGGCATGAATAATATGAGTGAATTGATAAAAATAACATGTCCCAACACCTCGACAGCCTAATCCCCTTTTGAAGAACCATTCCGACTTTTTCACTTCTATTGTGCATTCGATAACGCACACTCTTTTAATTTCTTTTATTTTTACTTTCATTGTCTGTTTTCTATTGAAGATGTATTAAATTCTGCAATTATTGTTTTCTAGTTTCACTTTTTTATTTAGTTAGGTAATATGTTACAGCCAAATTTATTAGCATAGAAAAAAATCCGATCTATAACTTTTTATTCATTTTGAAACTTCCAAAATAACATTTTTTATTTATTTATTTATCTATGCTATATAATTTTACCAAAAATAAAAAAAAAATAATAAAAAAGTGAAAAGTGAGGTTAGATGAATAGAATGAAGTTAGTTACTTTCCATTTTGACAGCTATTAACAAAAAAGTCCCTAGAATAATTTGCTTAACTTATTCTTAGTAAAATCTCGTTATTTACGGACGGTGGAATATAACTTAAAGTAAATAGAGTTTAAATTTTATGAGAAGATTAGTTATGGAGGGTTTAACTATAAGTTGGGCGTTAATTATATATAAGAATTGCTAAAGGGTATCAAGTGTGTGGCGTGTTAAGGTAGGACAGTATATAGAGTATCTGAGTCGCTACACTAACATTACAAAAAAATATCAGTAAGCAACACTCTCTCTAAAAAAAAATAAAAATAAAAACGATACTGCCACTGCACTCGTGCGGCAACGTAAAAGCAGTACCTCAGTAAAAGTGTTGGGGATTTTGAAGCTTCCACCTCGGCACCGTGCACCCCCATGACGGAGACGACAGTGTAGAAACGTGTCTGCTCTGCTTGTAGCCAAGGCGACCAGGCCCGAGTTGGCCGTCGTGAGGGCGAGCGTCCCCCTGAACCGGCCCACGATCATCGGCCGACCCGATTTCTACGTGCGTTACGGCACCAAGGAGAAGGAGGCGGTCGCCTCGTTCGATTTCCTGGACGAGCTCGGCACTCCGGGCGGCTCGGTGTGCTGCTCCGTCGAAGAAGAGGTCTTCGTTGTCGAGGATGAAGAAGACGAGGAGGAAGAGGGAGAAGCGTGCGTGAAACGGTGCAAGGTTAGCGAGGTTTGAGCGGGAGAAGGGGTTTGGAATGCGTAAATCGGCGTGGTTTGAGGAGCGGTAACGTCGTTGGCTAGCGGTTGGTTTAATCGAGACCTAAGCTTCTGTTAAAAAGAAGATTTCTATACAACGACAATGCAGCCAACTTAACAAATTAAAATTGACACTAATGACAACCGAGGGGTAAAACGCTAATGGCGTTCAGTGCGTTCTGGGTGTATTCTCACTTTCTTCTTTTCCTTATCGATAAATAAGGACACAAATATACTCAGTACGTACTGCCAGTGCCAAAAGATCCAAATGTACTTTTATTTTGGATATCATCAAAAATGCGTATCTTCTATACATTTGACCAATGGTTCTATATGATTTTGGTGATTAGGCTGAAATCATTATTATTTCAAAATCTCGATGTAAATTTTCTAAGGAAATATTCAAAACGGTCTTCACCTTTTTTATTTAATCTTCCATCTTCTACGTTTATATTTCGGCGCAGAAAATTTATTTCGAAGTGATTTTTGGTGATGATTTCGGATATTTCGAGAAAATTTGTAAGCGATTTCGAGTGAAAACTTATCAGTATTTCTGGAGTGGTTCATTGGTAGGACACTTGACAATTGGCAGTTGACAATTAATAGTTGACAATTGACAGTTTAGAAGTCACATCAATTATTTGATTGAAATGGTTTTTTTTTTCGGGTTTGTTGGCTGTAAGTCAGTAAGTAAAAAGGATATGTTTTTTATATATACAGGGTGTCACCGTTGAAGTCCGCATCATACGGACATTTTATTTAGACAATCTAAATTTAGACCTTGTGACCAGAACTTTCTTCGAAAATAATAATAGAAAAAACGATGTCAAATTTGACATATTTAAAAAAAAAATAGGATGACTTAGGTTATTTGTCAAAATTTCGAAAAATGTTAAATAAAAAACTTGTTTTTCGATTTTTTACTAACCTACCAAATTTGAACGAATTTTTATTCTTGTTGAGTTTTCTTAGCCTAACAATTTTTTGGTTAATTCAAATTTCTAAAATCGGAAAATATCAGTCAAAATACGAAACATTGAAATTTTTTCTATCGAACCGTATCGGGAAAATTGAAAGTTTCCTTAGGGAAAATGGTTTTTCAATAATTTACCGACTAGATTAACATTTTTTCGGCAATAAAAAATTGTTTCTCGAATTTTCCTACTTTTCCGACGAAGTTTTCTAAAAAATAAAAACTCACCTATACTATTCGATGTTCCTCACAAGCTAGCATGGACATTTTCCCGATATCTCCAACACATTTCTCAGGAAAATTTTATGCGCATGCTTTTCCGGGAAAAACTTTGCTTAAAAGAAGATATGGCAAAAAACTTATCCGGTTCAACAAGATAGGGTCTTGTTGATTGAAAAAGAGGAAAAAATATTTCTTTTTTTCAAAATATTATGACAAATTTTAAAATAAATAAGTTTTCAAAATTTCTCTTATCGAATGGTGTCGGAAAATTTGAAATATTCCTTACGGTAAAGTGGTTTTCCGGCGAAACCAACTTTGGCGTTCGAGACTGTAGGGTCTCAAGGTATTTTTGCTCTATCTATTCTATTAAGCATGGTTTTTCCTGGAAATTTCGTCAAATAATAATTAAAGGCAGTTCTGACGAAATAAAATCGTTTTATGAATTATTTAAAATTAAATTTTGTCAACTTATGCTTACGATATTAATAATTGACAATTTTGATGAAATTAAATCGTTTTATCAAGTATTTAAATCAAATTTTGTCAAATAAGGTTTATGACGTTAATAATTGACAGTTTTGACGAAATTAACTCGTTTTATCTCATAATTAAAATTAAATTTCATCAAAGAAGGCTTACGACCTTAATGATTTACAATTGTAACAAAATTAAATCGTTTTATTAATCATTTAAAATTAAATTTCGTCAAAAAAAGATTATAAGTTAATAAATAACAGTTTTGACGAAATTAAATCGTTTTATCAAGTATTTAAAATCAAATTTCGTCATAGAATGCTGATAATTAATAATTTTGACGAAATTAAATCGTTTTATCAAGTATTTAAAATCAAATTTGATCAAAGAATACTGTATGACATGAATGATTAACAATTTTGACCAAATAAAATCATTATATGAATTATTTAAAATCCAGTTTCGTCAAAGAATGCTTCTAATATTAATATTTGACAGTTTGGACAAAATAAAATCGTTTTATGAATTATTTAAAATTAAATTTCGTCAAATTTAGCTTACGATATTAATAATTGACAATTTTAACGAAATTAAATCGTTATATCAAGTATTTAAAATCAAATTTTGTCAAATAAGGTTTATGTCGTTAATAATTGACGGTTTTCATGAAATTACATCGCTTTATCATTATTTAAAATCAAATTTCGCCAAAGAGTGCTTACGATATTAATATTTGACAATTTTGACGAAATTAAATCGTTTTATCAAGTATTTAAAATCAAATTTCGTCATAGAAGGCTTATAATGCTGATAATTAATCATTTTGATGAAATTAAATCGTTTTATCATCATTTAAAATCAAATTGCAATCAAAGAATACTGTATGACATGAATAATTGACAATTTTGATCAAATAAAATCATTATATGAATTATTTAAAATCCAGTTTCGTCAAAGAATGCTTCCAATATTAATATTTGACAGTTTTGACGAAATAAAATCGTTTTATGAATTATTTAAAATTAAATTTCGTCAAATAATGCTTACGATATTAATAATTGACAATTTTAACGAAATTAAATCGTTTTATCAAGTATTTAAAATCAAATTTTGTCAAATAAGGTTTATGACGTTAATAATTGACAGTTTTGATGAAATTACATCGCTTTATCATTATTTAAAATCAAATTTCGTCAAAGAATGCTTACGATATTAATAATTGACAATTTTGACGAAATTATATCGTTTAATCAAGTATTTAAAATCAAATTTTATCAGATAAGGTTTATGACGTTAATAATTGACAGTTTTGACGAAATTACATTGCTTTATCTTTATTTAAAATTAAATTTCGCTATAGAATGCTTACGATATTAATATTTGACAATTTTGACTAAATTAAATCGTTTACTTAAATATTTAAAATTAAATTTCGTCAAAGACGTTAATAATTAACAGTTTTGATGAAATTAAAATTGTTTTATCCTGTATTTAAAATTACATTTCATCAAAGAAGGCCTATAACGTCAATAATTGATAGTTTTGATGTAATTAAATGTTTTATCATTTATTTAAAATAAAATTTCGTCAAAGAAAGCTTATAACGTTAATAATAGACAATTTTGACGAATTTAATCGTTTTATCCCGTAATTGAAATCAAATTGTGTCAAAAAAATGCCTATGACCTTAATTATTGACAGTTTTGATGAAATTAGATCGTTTTATCAATTATTTCAATTCAAATTTCCTCAAAAAAGGAATACGACGTAAATAATGGACAGTTTTGACGAAAATAAATCGTTTTATTAATTATTTAAAATCAAATTTCGTCAAAGAAGGCTTATGACGTTAATAATTGACAGTTTTGATGAAATTAAATTGTTTTAACAAGCATTTAAAATCAAATTTTGTCAATGAAAGGTTATGGCATAATTAATTGATAGTTTTGACGAAATTAAATCATTTATCAAGGATTTAAAATCAAATTTTGTCAAAGAAGAATTATTACGTTAATAATTGACTATTTTGACGAAATTAAATTGTTTTATCAAATATTTAAAATCAAATTTCGTCAAAGAAATCTTATGACGTTAATAAATGACACTTTGGACGACATTAAATCATTTTCTCAAGTATTTAAAATAAATTTTAGCCAAAGGAAGGTTATGACGTTAATAATTGACAGTTTTGTCAAAATTAAATCGTAATATAAATTATTTTAAATTAAATTTCGTCAAATAAGGGTTACGATATTAATAATTGACAGTTTTGACGAAATTATATTATTTTATCAAGTATTTAAAATAAAATTTCGTCAAAAAACGTTTATGACGTTAATAATTGACAATTTTGATTAAATTAAATCGTTTTATCAATTACTTAAAATAAAATTTTGTCAAAGACATTAAAATTGTTAGTTTGGACGAAATTAAATCATTTTACCAATTATTTAACATCAAATTTCATCAAAAAAGAATTTTTCGTTAATAATTGACAGTTTTGACGAAATAAAATGATGAAATTAAATTGTTTTAACAAGCATTTAAAATCAAATTTTGTCAATGAAAGGTTATGGCATAATTAATTGATAGTTTTGACGAAATTAAATCATTTATCAAGGATTTAAAATCAAATTTTGTCAAAGAAGAATTATTACGTTAATAATTGACTATTTTGACGAAATTAAATTGTTTTATCAAATATTTAAAATCAAATTTCGTCAAAGAAATCTTATGACGTTAATAAATGACACTTTGGACGACATTAAATCATTTTCTCAAGTATTTAAAATAAATTTTAGCCAAAGGAAGGTTATGACGTTAATAATTGACAGTTTTGTCAAAATTAAATCGTAATATAAATTATTTTAAATTAAATTTCGTCAAATAAGGGTTACGATATTAATAATTGACAGTTTTGACGAAATTATATTATTTTATCAAGTATTTAAAATAAAATTTCGTCAAAAAACGTTTATGACGTTAATAATTGACAATTTTGATTAAATTAAATCGTTTTATCAATTACTTAAAATAAAATTTTGTCAAAGACATTAAAATTGTTAGTTTGGACGAAATTAAATCATTTTACCAATTATTTAACATCAAATTTCATCAAAAAAGAATTTTTCGTTAATAATTGACAGTTTTGACGAAATAAAATAGTCTTATAGAGTAGGTATTTTAAATCAAATTTCATAAAAGAAGCCTTTTGACCTTAATGATTAACATTTTTAACTTTTGTCGAAATTAAATCGTTTATCAATTATTTAAAAATAAAATTTCGTCAAAAAAGTCTCTTGACGTTAATT